ACCAAATCAAAATGGATCCAAGTGATGAAGAGAAAACTTCGTTTATCACAGACAGAGGGACTTACTGTTATAAAGTAATGCCCTTTGGTCTCAAAAATGCTGGAGCAACTTATCAAAGGTTGGTCACTAAAATGTTCCAGGAACATTTAGGTAAAACCATGGAGGTATATATAGACGATATGCTCGTCAAAACCCAGCATTCTCATGATCACATTTCTCATTTATCTGTCACATTTCAAATTTTACGAAAGTTTAATATGAAACTCAATCCAGAAAAATGCGCGTTCGGGGTCGCATCAGGAAAGTTTTTGGGTTTCCTTGTCTCTAACCGTGGTATTGAAGTAAATCCTGCACAGATCAAAGCAATAGAAGAAATCCCAGATGTACTTACGAGTAAAAAGAAGTTCAAAGACCAACTGGGAGAATTGCAGCTTTGGGGAGATTTATTTCCAAGTCTTCAGAAAAATGCTTCAAATTTTTCTCAGCCTTAAAGAAACAAGATCATTTTGAATGGAACGAAGATTGTCAACAAGCACTTAAGAATCTGAAAGTATATTTGTCAAATCCACCGTTGTTGGCAAAACCAAAGGTAGGAGAGAAGTTACTCATATATCTTGCCGTGTCAGAAGTTGCGGTAAGTGCTGTTTTAGTCCGGGAGGATCAAGGTAAGCAATCTCCTATCTATTATGTAAGCAAGTCTTTGCTAGATGTAGAAACACGGTACCCGCAACTAGAAAAGTTAGCGCTTGCTTTGATCATGGCGTCTAGAAAATTAAGACCTTATTTTCAATGTCATCCCATTGCTGTGGTTACTGCTTTTCCATTACGAAATATTTTGCATAAACATGAATTATCAGGTAGGTTAGCAAAATGGGCTATAGAATTAAGTGAGTACGACATCACTTATCAACCTAGGACTGCTATAAAATCTCAGGTATTAGCTGATTTCGTAGCTGATTTCAGTCAGGGGATGCAGTTAGAAGCTGAAAAAGAATTACAAGTTTTTAATGGTGCAAACCCGGGGACTTGGACTTTATTCACCGACGGTTCATCTAATGTAAAAGGCCCAGGTTTAGGAATAGTTCTCGTACCACCCACGGGTGAAACTATTAGACAAGCTATAAAGTGTCATTCGATAACTAACAATGAAGCAGAGTATGAAGCTGTCATTGCAGGTTTAGAACTGGCACGGGAACTTGGCATATCACAGATTATAATCAAGAGCGATTCTCAACTTGTGGTTAATCAAATATTGGGGACTTATACAGCCAGGGAAACTCGAATGCAAGAATATCTTGAAAAGGTACGGGAGCTAATAAAACAATTCCAAACTTGGAAGGTAATGCAGATCCCAAGAGACGAGAATGCAGAAGCAGATGCTTTGTCTAACCTCGCGTCTGCAGCAGACGTAGCAAATGATGCAAATGCTTCAGTCATACATCTATTTCATTCCGTCCTCGAACCTGATAAGAATGAGGTAAATTTTAATCATTTAACATGGGATTGGAGAAACGAAATTGTTGCTTTTTTACAGTATGGAACCGTGCCTATTGACAAAACAAAAGCTCATGCACTTCGCAAGAAAGCTGCTCGTTATTGTTTGCATCAAGGGAATCTTTATCGAAAGATGATCGGTGGACCATTAGCAAGGTGTCTCGGACCTTCTCAAACAGAGTACGTGATGAGGGAAATACATGAAGGACATTGCGGAAGTCACGCTGGTGGAAGGTCGCTAGTAAAAACGTTGATTCGAGCAGGATATTATTGGCCCAAGATGGAAGAAGAAGCGAACGATTTCGTGTCTAAATGTGATAAATGTCAAAGATACGGCAATAATATGCATAGACCAGCTGAGTTACTCCACCCTGTCATAGCTCCGTGGCCCTTTATGAAATGGGGAATGGATATCGTAGGACCATTGCCACAAGCAAAAGGTCAGGTAAAGTTCCTACTTGTGCTTACAGATTACTTCACTAAATGGGTAGAAGCAGGAGCATTTAAACAGGTGCGGGAGAAAGAAGTTAAAGACTTTATTTGGAGAAACATAATATGCCGTTTTGGGGTACCAAAGGAAATCGTGTGTGATAATGGACCACAATTCATAGGAGCCCAAATCACAGAATTTCTTCAAAGTTGGCAGATTAAAAGGATAATATCTACACCATATCACCCAGTGGGGAATGGACAAGCGGAATCCACGAATAAGGTTATCATCAACAACTTGAAGAAAAGGTTGCAGGATTCGAAAGGTAATTGGCCCGAGGTATTACCTGGGGTATTATGGGCATATCGTACAACGACAAAAACAAGCACGGGAGAAACCCCATTTTCAATGGTTTATGGTGCGGAGGCTTTGATTCCAGTAGAAATAGGAGAACCAAGCACACGGTACGTTCAAGCAACGGAGGAATCAAATGATGAAGAGATGCGGGTGAATCTCGATTTGTTAGAAGGAAGAAGAGAAGCTGCACTAATAAGAATGGCGGCACAAAAGCAAGTAATTGAACGATATTATAACAGGAAAGCACGACTCAGATTCTTTAAAATTGGGGACTTCGTGCTTAAAAAGGTGTTCCAATCTACAAAGGCTGCTAATTCAGGAAAGCTGAGTCCAACATGGGAAGGACCCTACAGAGTTCGAGATATTGCAGGAAAAGGAGCATACGAGTTGGAAACAATGGACGGGAAGGTGCTTCCTTCACATTGGAATGCAGTTCATCTAAAAAGATACTACTTTTGAAAAAAGTATCCACGGTCAGGTATCTCTATGTTAAAATTCATTTTTTAATCATTAATAATTTTACTAACGATTTTAGATGCTAGGCAAAAACCCTAACTCGTGCCAAATGATGAGTCACGACCTGTACGGCAAAATGGAATATTCTTAAATTCCCAGCCCAGGGTTATAATTAATCTGATGGAAATACACACGGGTTAGGCAGTCTTCATCTCTAATCGCACCTCCGAGTCCCGCAAATTTTTCTGTTTCAGGAAAAGGACCAAGCTAAGAGGAAAAACAAGTGCTCGAGGCTTCATACTTCACCGCTCAAACACTTGGGGGACTGTATAATGAACACAGAACAGATACGTGCGGAAAATAGATGCATAAATCAAGAGACAAGTGTCGAGCAGAGGTTATGGAATCCCAGCATAAGCATACATCATAGTATTCTTTCCCATGAGAACAACAGAGTCACCTCACAAACTCATGAGAACAATAGAGTCACCTCTCAAACCCTTCCTAATACATGAAGATGGGGTCATGACTATATACTGAAACGGGTTATAAGGGAAAACCTTGTCTAAATTATATCTACTTTGTAAAAATCTGTTACAAGAAAAACAGTTACGAGAAAGTTATAGATGTACTTTAATACATGTAATACTCAAAAGCTTGTTCAAGTTCATGAATAAAAACTTGTCAAAGTTGTAGCATACAAAACATGTGTATTCCTATTTCTTTCATCGTATTATAACACCATTACGAAGTTGAGACGTCTTCTTCATTAAGTGTCGATATATATATAAAAGGGCCCTCTTTTATAAACCTCATGTTAATAAGTCATGAGAAGAATCATAAAGCATTTTCAAAGTTTAAAAATGCTAAACTATTCTATAAGTCCTAAATAGATAAGAAAAAGGCAAGAATAGAACATATTGAAGTACCAAGAAAACTTCTTAAAAAAGACTAAGTAAAACTTAGTCAAGCAAAATGTTTTTACAAGTGCCCCATTATGGTAACTGGGGACTTAACCAAAAAATCCCTTAAAAAGGTCAAGGGATAAAATCACCAATTAATAAAAAAAAAAAACAACAAAGGAGTAAAAAATTCAACTTGTCACTAAAGGGGTTGGAACTTCTGAAGTTGCAATGTCAACTTCACTTTCAGAAGCAGCTGTAGGCACGGTAGCAATTTCTGAGGAAGTAGCGGCAGTTGGGCTTGAAGTGTTAAAATCACCGAGGGAAGCAAGAGTCACGGGAGCTTCAGCTTCCACGGACTGTATAAGTGAAGTTTCACCCTCGGGAGCTGGAATTGTAACATTTTCAACTTCAACAGAAGCGGCTCCTTCATTTAAAGGTTCCTCAGCCACGGGAGTTCCATCTGCTGGAGAAGGAAAGTCAAGAGGTTGTTGAGTCATTTCAATGGTTCTTAAAACCTTGGCCAATTCCGATTCTAAATCAAAGTTTTCTTGACTGGCCTCGGTTAAGGCATCACGGCGGGAATTTAGAAAGGCCCAGCTCACCTCTGTGTTAAACTTTTCCTCAAGAAGCTCATAATCCTTTTCCCACGAGGCAAGATCATTTTTTAACATTTGATTTTCAGCCAAAGTGGAGTCAAGGGTAGCTTCAAGGGAGGCACGAGAATTCTCTAAGGCACGAACCTTATCAGAGGAAATTTGCAAATCAGCCTGAGCCTGAGACAAGTTTTGAACTAGCTCTCCCGCGTACTCTTCTTTCTTGCTCAACAATACCTTAAGTTCTCTAATCTCTTCGCTTGACTTTGATAATTGTTCTGAAAAAGAACATTCAAGACGCTCCTTATCCTTCTCAGCTTTACTAGAAGAAGCCTTGGCCGCCGCTAATTCAGAAGTCAGAATTTGCTTTTGCTGTTCCAGGTCACGTTTATTCTCTTGCAATTCTTTTATCTTTTTCTGAGCATTTTTAAACTGCTCTCTCCAATTGGTTGCCTCAAGCTGGGCTTCTCTAGCTATCCTCTCAGCCTCAAGAAAAGTCTGATCAGACTCGCGAGCCTTCTTTTCTAAGAGGGAAATTCTTCCCATCAATTCCGTACCAATGAGGTTAGCCTACAAAAACAACTCATGAAAGTTAGAATTAAAAAGAAAGAATTTATTAAAGAGTAAAGGGAGAGTACCTTCAATGTACAGTGAACTATATCATTCATCAAAGTTAGACAACTGTGACTGTCCATCTTCTTTTTCTCAATATCCCCAATTAAGGGTTCAAGCCAAACATCTGCTCTGCCAGACTTCCTTAAAAGACTGCTATTAGCAGGAACCTCAAGTGTTACACTCCTCATAGCCATGCTTCTGCTACTAGAACCCTCTTCTGCATAATGAGCAGAGGAAGGGGGAACTATAGAAGGAGGAACGGTAGAAGAGGTGAAAATAGTAGTAGTCGAAGGAGTCGAGGCAGGTAAGGGAGCAGAAATTGACAAAGAGGCAGGAACAGACAAAGTGGGTAAGGAAACACTTGAAATTAGAGGAGGAGGAACAGAAAGAACAGGAACGGAAGATGAAAGAGGAATTTCATCTAAAATCGGACCTAATTCACCACTTTCGAAGCCCTCAATAAAGAGGCGATGAGTGGATTCAGGGGAGTCCCTTGGAATGGTTTCTTCGTCGGAGGTAATAGTAACGGGTTCAGAGATACGAGCGGGAGAGATTTCAGTTTCATCCTCAGAAACAATGCGCCTCCTGGTTCTAGGACGAGCTCTCAAAGAGGTATCTTCATCTTCATCAACGTCAGAATCCTCTTCAACCACTTTTCTCTTTGACAGTGTGGCTTGCGTTCTTTCCAAAGCGGAGTACTGGAAGAAGCTCGAAGGGTGATAGCTACTTCAGCCGACATCCCTCGAATAGCAAATCCTGACAATAAGAAGGATAAAAAGTTAAAAGAGGGGAAAAGAATTTAACGCACGAGAAGCAAAAAGGGATGTATACCGTGAGTTTTCACTTTCCAACCGTGTTTGTTGGAAATAGATCTCCAAGTTCGTGCCTCCATAGGCACGGCTTTCAAGACAACATCTACCCAACCACGGAAATTAGGAACGGGTTCCACATCTCCCATGGTTGCTACAAAAAAGCAAAGGAATAATAATAAAATTAGAAGAGAAGTTGAAATAACGAAAGCAGATACGGCAAGGAAGAAAATACTTACGTGCAAAGTTCCATTTCTCAGGAAATGGAATGTTTGATTCACCCACCAAATCAATTGTGGGAACAGCAACAAACCGGGTGTACCAGCCACGGTCGTTATTATCTTCAGGGTTAACCAAAACCCTCTTACTTCTTGCAGTTAAGGTAAAAACACCATTGCGGAATAGCTTGGGGTGATAAAGATGAATTAGATGAGGAAAAGTAAAGTCAACATCAGCTTTGGTTGACATATACCTCAAACAAGCTACTGCTCTCCATACGAGGGACCAACTTGAGCCAAACAAATTTTGAAAAAACGACAGAAATCAAGTATGACTGGGTCAATAGCAGGAATAAATCCCAAAGTAAAGGGATAAGTGTAAATGAAAGAAAAGCCAACCCTATAAGAAGATATTCTTTGATGTGGAGTAGGAATAACTATTTGGGTGTCACCTCTCCAACGACAATCTCTTCGAATAATTTGAATCAAAGGTTCAGTAATTAAAGAGGGATATTTATCAGCTCTCTCTAATTTAATCACTTGGTCACGAAGGGATTCTTTGTCATGTTCGAAAGATAAATCCGTTGGCACAATTTCTTCAACCAGAGGCTCTTGGTTAGACTCAGAAGGTTCTTTTCCCTTAGAAGAAGATTTGTTAGAAAGAGAGCCTCTAGAGATGTTGCCAGAACTAGAAGAAGGAATGATGGAACCAGAGGTACCACCACGAACCGACCCTGAACCACGAAGCACACCTCCTCTACCTCTTCTATATCTAGCAGGAGCATTGGGGAAACTATCAAGAATTGGGACTCTTTTAGGGTTAGGATCCGAAGACGACATAGTGAGAAGATATAAACAGAAGGTATGAACTGAAGAAGAAGTGAACAAGAGTAAATAGCAAGAAATTTGGTAAAGTAAATAGCAAGAAATTTGGTAAAAAGCTTGTGAAGAAGAAGACAAAGGAAAGAGGGGGCAAGTTTATATATAAACTCAACCGTCGATAATTAAGAAGTGTAATGATGGAAAGCCTATAATAAAGGCAACTATCACTTCGTGAATAGTGGAGTTAAAAAAGCCTTAGAAAAAGGCTGCAAAATCGCAGAACTAATGAGAAGGTGACACGTATATGGTGCATTAAATAGAAGAGACAATTGAAGCGTCGACACTGTCATAGCATTGATTATGGCAAAAATTCCCTTTTTAATGAAGATCCACTTCCCAAATATTTAATTGATAAATAAATGGAAAGTGGGGGGACTATCTGTATTGGGAAAAAACTGAATTTATATTGAAGGTGACGTGGCATGACACGTGGACTGGTCAAATGGTCAAAACATGATGATCAATTGAGGGGCACGGGCGATATCAGATACGAAGAGAAGAGAGTTAAATAGGCACGAGATGCTATTCAAATGATACGAGTCTCGTATCTATTTAACTTAATTAAAGCCAGGAGGTCAGAAGGAATTGAAGATATGTATCTGATAGCATCAGGAGTCTAAATTCAGTATTAAATGTCAAATACGTTAGCGAATCAGCATTGAATAGGAATGATTGTGTAACGTTTCATTTAATGTCATTTAATGCTCATAATTGCCTCTTTAAGACTGAGACATTATACCTTTTCCTAGAAAAATCAACTATAAAAGGAGGAGATCTCAGCATTTGTAAGGACACGAAATGTCATTAAGATTACATTGAAATACAAACTTATTTACTGCTTTATTCTCAAAAATTCCTTATTCTTTTCGTCTCCTGATTATCAGTAACCCGATTTTTTCTTTTAATTTCTAGTTTTAACCGAAATTCTATTTTTTGGTTAAACACAGTGGCCGGGCGAGGGGCGGAGGAGGACACGGCGGAAGAGGACACGGAGGAGGAGGACATGGTCGAGGAATATTATTCGGAGGAAGGAGAGGTGGGCATTGAAGTCGGCATTCAAGTGCTTCATCTTGCTCTAGGCATGCTTCAAACTATTGGTTGATCATTATTCAATTCCTTGTAGCCTTGATTTTGGTGTAATTTAATTGATTAACAAATTATATATAGTATAAAACCTGTATAATTTAAAGGTCTCAGATTCGAGCCTTGAGTATGGAGTCATCAGAAGCGGATCCATGATTTAAACTCTCTGGCTTCGGCTTTTGAGGTTTTAATCATCGAATCCATTGTATATTGTATCTTTAAGATTATAGATTTATATCTATTATTTATTGTAATTTTAGTGGATTTTTACAATAAAGAATTATATTCCGTATTAAAAGTTATGAGTTCAGTTAATTGAACCCGATATCACAAAACTAGATACGCCTTTGGGAGTCATCTTTGTTAGAAGCATTTTATCTCACGATTCATCAGATGATTCGGGTTCGAATGCGGATACCCTATATAATTCCTTATCGAATTAAAAACCTTTATTCAAACAAAGTACACCTGGTCAATGAACATGGATTTAGACAAAATATAAAGGTCTATAAAAAGTTACAACCTCAATTTTAATTTTAGCTATATAGGGTTTCTTTCCAACGTATTAAATAAAGTGACATGTATATACAAGGTAGAATTAAATAAAAAATAAAGCAAATTTCAAACCCTATCCTAATCCTAAAAAATTTAAACTGACTAACAAATTCCTCAAGCATAAGACTAGGAATCTTAATAAAATATTTTGGTTATATAAAACAAAATCAGTGCGCAAGTTCTAAAGCACATTTCTAATCCTCCCCTTCGATTTCACTTTTTTCTTTCTTCACATAGAGATTAAAAACGAAGTCATATAGAGATGAATAGAAACTGAAAAAGCTTGTTTAGGAGAACCAACGTTAAACTAGTAGTTTTCATTGCTCTTACACTAGTGTTAGCCCTACTTATACCTTCCGTGGCCGGAGAAGGAGGAGGAGATGCAGGAGGCGGAGGAGGAGGAGAAGGAGGAGGTGGCGCAGGAGGAGAAGGTGGACGACAAATTATCAGATAGCCACTCTATAGGGTTGTTATATAAGAATTAGCTGGTGCGTCTTAACTTTTAATTTTTAAGTTTAATTTTTCAGAACAAAAATATCTTGAAACTAAGATTTTTAGTTTAAAATTCCAGGACAAAATAAGTACTGGCTAATCTTTAAATAGCATCTTTGAGAATGGCTATTTCTTTCACTTTCCCTTTTGATGTTCAAGCTAGTGCAACTTTTCATCAAAGCCCATTTCCCCCACTCTTATGTCTTAGGAGTAGGAGAGTTAGCTTCTAAGTACTAATGCTGAACATCTTCATTTATATGCTCGTGATTATTGTCAGTTTAAGCTAATATCTCAGCCTATATTTTGTTAATTTACTCCTTTTATCAAGGGAAATAGTTTTAATATACTCTACTAATTAATATACAAAATATCTTAATTTATCAACAATCATATTTCTCTTGGTTTCATTTAAATCCTTGTCACTATCAAATCATCTCGTATCACCTTTGACTTTAAGACCTGATGGATTCCAATCCTCAAAATACTTCGAGAAAAATATTACTCCCTTCATTCCAATTTATGTGAACCTATTTGACTGGGCACAGAGTTTAAGAAAAAATGAAGACTTTTGGAATTTGTGGTCCTAAATAGTCCAAAAGAGGCCCAGAGTATTTATGTGGTTATAAAAGCTTCTCATTAAGGGTAGAATTGTAAGTTTAAGCTAAATTATTACCAAATTTAGAAAGGGTTCATTCTTTTTGGAACGGACTAAAAAGGAAATAGGTTCACATAAACTGGAATACAGGGAGTAAATGTACCGTTTTACTTTTGACAATAATTTTAAATTATCCTTAATTATTGTATTGGGAAAAATTTACTTTGCATATTGGAGATGACGTGTCATGACACGTAGACTGGTCAAACAGTCAAAGAATTAAGGTTGTTCAATAGGTACGAGCAGCAACAGATACGAGCAAGTTAAACAGAAGAGACACGAGCAGTCATACGAGCCATTCAATGCTCGTACCTATTCAAAGCATTTAAAGGTCAAAGATCGTGAAAAATCAAAGGGAAGAATCTGACAGCAAATAAGAGCCCAGATACAACATTTAATGAGTATTAAAGGCAAGAAACGTTAGAGAATATGTATTTAATGTATATGGTTGCATAACGTAGCATTTAAAGTCATTAATTGCCCATAATTGCCTTATTATGACAAAGGTAAAGTCTGTATTTCCAAAATGGCTATAAAAGGGAAAGTCACAAACAATTGTAAGCACGAGACACTATTGGAATATACTCTGATTATTTAGCTTTCATATATTATTATTCTCAAATTCTTTTCTTTATATACTTTTCTGATTATCAGTAACCCGTATTCTTCTAAATTTCAGCTTTGACTAAAAATCTATTTTTTGGTTAAACAAATTGGTTCCAATGCCGGGAATCTGATAATTAATTATATCTCAGCTTGATTTTCTTTGTGGAATCAACTATGTCGAACAACAATGACAACATTCAAGGAAACCCAATCAATCAACAAAATCTGGGAGATCCGCAAAATGATGCTATTCAAGATCAAACACCATGAGACTCACCACGGCAATCTCGTGAAGGCACTCCTGAAGGATCTCACACAGAAGAACAAGGTCAATTTGAAAATGCTGAAGCTATGGATGATGCTTTACAAAAACTTATCGCTACTCAGGTCAACAAAGCTTTACAAGCTTTTGTTAGTCAATTACCTGCTGCTCCACCCACACCTACCCCAAATAACAATACCTTGGAGAACCCGTTCTGGACTGGTTAATTCAGGCAGCGGTGGAACCCCCAGTGAAACACAGGAAGGAGACCCAGGTAATCCAATTAATTCTGATTTGCAAAATGTAGTAGTAACATTGCAGAAACAGCTTAAGGAGCAAAATGACCGCATAGAACAAATACCCGGAGTACCACCCGTGATCAAGGGGGTAGATATAGATAAATATTCTCAACAGCCATGGATGCCAAGTGCTGCCCCTCTCCCAATTCCAAAGAAGTTCAAGATGCCCGATATTTCAAAGTATGATGGGACAACAGACCCACGAGATCATGTTACTGCATTTACAACAGGTGTCAAGGGCAATGATTTGACTAAGCAGGAGATTGAATCAGTCTTGGTAAAAGAATTCGGTGAAACACTCACTAAAGGGGCACTAACATGGTATTCTATCTTACCTGAAAATTCTATAAATTCTTTTGCTGAGCTTGCAGATTTATTTATCAAAGCACACTCGGGAGCTCAATAAGTTGAAAAAAGAATGGAAGACATCTTCAAAATCAAGCAAGGAGATTCAGAGTTGCTCGGAGAATTCGAGGATAGATTTCAACGGGAGAGAATGACATTGCCACGAGTACCTGACAATTGGGCGACCATAGCCTTTACCAGCAATTTGAATGAGAAGAGTTCAGAAGCCACGAGGCGACTCAAGGAAAGTCTTCGAGAATTCCCAGCAACAACGTGGAATGATGTCTACAACAGATACAGTACAAAGATGAGGATTGAAGAAGACATTATTTTACGACATAAAACAGAAGAAAAGGTAAGCTCAAGGCGTGTAGAAAATGAAAAGAGATCCGGTAAAAACAGGTACGAGCCTTACATGGGACCTGCGGGAAAGGACTCACGGTCAAGGCAAGAAAATCAAAGGTACGATCACAAATCTAGAAACAGGGAATCAGGCTCCTCATCAAGGTTCGCAAACGATCGGAATACACGTGGGTCACGAGACGATGATGGAAGTCTAAAAGCAAGGTTTGGTGGCTACAATTTTAACGTAAGCACCTCTGAACTCGTAGATTTTAAGAAGCATAGGAGATAAGGTACGATGGCCAAAGGAGATGAGATCAAACCCAAACAGACGAAACCCAGATCATTGGTGTGAATTTCACAACGATCACGGGCATAAGACAGCAGATTGCAGATTTTTGCAGGGAGAAGTTGATCATTTGTTAAAACAAGGGTATCTCACTGAGCTATTCAGTGAAAAAGGTAAACAAGCATATATGAAGAACAGACAGGATACTCCGAAACCACCCTCGTCCAAAAGAACCGTCAATTTTATAAGTGGGGGTGAAGATATCAATGGCGTCTCATATACCGCAGCTAATAAGACTTCCAAAATAACAATCACTCATGGGAAGCGGTTGCGACATGTACTGGAAGAAGAGAATATTACATTCAACGACGCAGATACCGAGGGTCTCCTAACTCCACATAACGATGCACTGGTAATATCTTTACTTGTACATGACACTAACGTGAAACGAGTTTTGATTGATCCACGTAGTTTTGTAAATATTATTTTGATACGAGTATTGCGTGAGATGCAAGCAGAGGATAAATTGATTCCAAAAGTGCATACTTTGTCGGGATTTGACAACTCTAGTGTTGTAACGAAAGGGGAAGCAATACTTACTACATTCGCAGAAGGTGGTGTTAAAGATACCAAATTTCAAGTCGTAAATATGGAAATGGCTTACAACATGATTCTTCGAAGGCCATGGATTCATGACATGGATGTTGTTCCATCAACCTTACATCAATTTATTAAATTTCCATCACCATGGGGAATATGTCAAATCAGAGGCGATCAACAAACATCTAGAAGCATCAATTTCATTGCAGATTCAACTGTAAAGGGTGAAGACAAATAGCAATTACAGAATTTAGGTGGGGGTAACACGGTGTCAACCTCAACTGAGCAAAGGCAAACAGATGTGGATTCAAGACCTGATACCATTCAAGAACCGGAGGAGAACGAGAATATCAAAACAACGATAGAAGAGCTAGAGGCCGTGGTGTTATTTATACATTGGCCCGAGAGAAAAGTGTATATAGGAGCTAATCTTAGCCCAGAGGTAAAACGTAAATTGATTGAATTTTTAAAAGCTAACGCAGATTGTTTTGCTTGGTCCCATTCTGACATGACAGGGATACCACCAGAAGTCATGACCCATAAATTGAATGAAGATCCATCATATCCTCCAATCAAGCAAAAGAAAAAAAAGCAAGGAACTTTCAAGAATAAGGTGATTCAAGAAGAAGTTCAAAAATTGCTAAAAATAGGTTCAATTCGTGAGGTAAAATATCCTAACTGGTTAGCTAATACTGTTGTGGTTCCTAAGAAGAACGGTAAGTGGCGAGTCTGTGTAGATTACACAGACCTCAATAAAGCCTGTCCAAAAGATTCTTTTCCTTTACCGCACATAGATCAATTAATTGATGCTACTGCAGGGCATGAGCTATTAAGTTTTTTAGATGCGTATTCAGGCTATAATCAAATCAAAATAGATCCAGGTGATGAGGAAAAAACCTCTTTCATAATAGAAAGGGGGACTTAGTGTTATAAGGTAATGCCTTTTGGTCTTAAGAATGCAGGTGCAACGTATCAGAGGTTAGTTACTCAAATGTTTCAAGAACATTTAGGTAAGACCATGGAGGTATATATAGATGATATGCTAGTTAAGACTCAGCATTCAGAAGATCATATATCACACCTGTCTGACACGTTCAAAATTTTACGAAAATATAATATGAAGTTGAATCCAGAAAAATGTGCATTTGGTGTGGCATCAGGTAAGTTTTTAGGTTTTCTTGTTTCTAACCGTGGTATTGAAGTGAATCCTGCACAGATTAAGGCTATCGAAGAAATCCCTGATATACTTTCAAACAAGAAAGAAGTTCAAAGACTGACGGGAAGAATCGCAGCTTCGGGAAGATTCATTTCTAAATCATCGGAAAAGTGTTTTAAATTCTTCTGGGCCCTTAAGAAGCAGGATCATTTTGAGTGGGATGAGGAGTGTCAACAGGCACTTAGGGATTTGAAAACATACTTATCAAATCCACCTTTGCTGGTAAAACCAAAGGCTGGGGAGAAACTTTTTATCTACCTAGCTATTTCAGAAGTCGCAGTAAGCGCGGTTTTGGTTCGAGAAGAACAGGGTAAACAATCTCCTATCTATTATGTTAGTAAATCTTTGTTAGATGCAGAGACACAGTATCCACAACTGGAAAAACTAGCACTTGCTTTAATCATGGCATGTAGAAAGTTAAGACCATATTTTTAATGTCATCCCATTGTTGTAGTAACTGCATACCCCTTACGTAATTTATTGCATAAGCATGAATTGTCAGGAAGATTAGCTAAATGGGGCATAGAGCTAAGTGAATATGAAATCACATACCCACCTAGAACAGTAATAAAATCCCAGATATTAGCTGATTTCGTGGCCGACTTCAGCCAAGAGATGCAGTTAGAAGCAGAAAAAGAAGTACATATACTTAATGGGGCTAATCCAGGAACATGGACCATATTCACTGATGGCTCATCTAACGTAAAAGGTGCAGGATTAGGAATTGTCTTAGTACCACCTACCAGTGAAACTATTAGGCAAGCTATTAAATGTCATTTCATAACTAACAATGAAGCGGGGTATGAAGCTGGGATTGCAGGTCTAGAATTGGCACGAGAACTTGGTATAAATCAAGTGGTGATCAAAAGTGATTCGCAACTCGTGGTTAATCAAATGCTGGGGACTTACACGGCTAGGGAATCAAGGATACAACAGTACTTGGAAAAGGTACGGGAACTGATAAAGCAATTCCAAACTTGGAAGGTCATACTAATATCAAGGGATGAAAATGTTGAAGCAGATGCCTTAGCCAATCTCGCATCCGCAGCTGATGTGGCAAATGATGCAAACACCTCAGTTATACATTTATTTCATTCAGTTCTCGAACCTGATAAGAATGAGGTAAATTTTAATAATTTAACTTGGGATTGGAGGAACAAAATTGTTGCTTTTTTACAGTACGGTACCGTCCCTGATGACAAGAGACAAGCGCATGCACTTCGAAAAAAGGCTGCCCGTTACTGTTTAAAACAGGGGAACCTATATCGTAAAATGTTCGGTGGTCCCTTAGCAAGATGCCTCGGACCTTCTCAAACGGTGTATGTGATGAGGGAAATACATGAGGGGCATTGCGGGAGTCACGCAGGAGGAAGATCATTGGTGAGAACCCTGATTAGAGCAGGGTACTATTGGCCCAAAATGGAAGAAGAAGCCGAGAGTTTCGTGGCTAAATGTGACAAATGCCAGAGGTATGGTAACAATATGCACAGACCGGCAGAATTATTACATCCAGTCATTGCGCCGTGGCCATTTTTGAAATGGGGAATGGATATAGTAGGACCATTACCTCAAGCAAAAGGACAGGTAAAGTTTCTTCTCGTACTTACTGATTATTTCACTAAATGGGTAGAGGCAGGAAGATTTAGACAGGTGCGAGAAAAGGAGGTAAAGGATTTCATTTGGCGAAATATCATCTGCCGATTTGGTGCACCAAAGGAAATCGTATGCGACAATGGCCCTCAATTTATCGGAGCTCAAGTCACAGAGTTTTTTGAGAGTTGGAAAATTAAAAGGATTACATCTACACCTTATCACCCAGGGGGTAATGGGCAAGCAGAATCAACAAACAAAGTCATAATCAACAATTTAAAGAAACGATTAGAGGAGTCAAAGGGTAATTGGCCTGAAGTGTTACCCGGAGTTTTATGGGCATATCGCACAACAACAAAAACGAGTATGGGTGAAACACCCTTCTCTTTGGATTATGGAGCTGAGGCACTAATCCCGATTGAAGTAGGAGAACCAAGAATAAGATTCTCACAGGCAGCACAAGAATTAAATGATGAAGAAATACGGGTCAATTTGGATTTGTTGGAAGGCAGGAGAGAAGCTGCGTTAATAAGAATGGCAGCACAAAAAGAAGTGATCGAACGATATTACAACAGGAAGGCACGCCTGAGATACTTCAAAATTGGGGACTTCGTGCTTAAAAAGGTTTTTCAATCGACAAAGGCAGCCAACGCGGGTAAACTAAGTCCAACCTGGGAAGGACCCTACAGAGTTCGAGATATTGCAGGAAAAGGAGCATACGAGTTGGAAACAATGGACGGGAAGGTGCTTCCTTAACATTGGAATGCAGTTCATTTGAAGAGATACTACTTCTAAGGAAAAACCCACGGTCAGGTATCACCATGTCAAATTGTATTTTTTGAATTGTTAAAATTTTACTAACGATTTTAGATGATAGGCAAAACGCTAACCCGTACTAAATGATGAGTCACGACCTGTGAGGCAAAATGGAATAAACAAAAATTCCTAGCTCAGGGTTACAATTATTCTGATAGAAGTATAAACGGGTTAAGCAGTCTTCATCTATAATCGCACCCCCGAGTCCCGTATGTATTTCCTTTTCAGGAAAAGGACCAGGTGAAGGAGACTATCAAGTGCTCGAGGCTTCATACTTCAACACTCAAACACTTGGGGGACTATATAGTATATACAGTCACATGTATAAAAAAGGCGAAGAAGATTTAGAAAAAATCAAGCCTAGAAGAATCAAGTACAGAGTGAAAGTTACGAAGTCATGGCATTCATCATAGTAGTCTTTCCCATGAGAACAATGGCATTCATCATCGTATTCTTTCCCATGAGAAGAATGGGGTCACCTCTCAAGCTCTTCCTAATGTTCTGGAGCTAAAGGGACCCAATGTACCTCAAAACGGTTAGGGTAAAGACTGTACTAAAACGGGTTATAAGGAAAAACCCTGTATCTATTGTTCTTCTTTTGTATAAATCTGTTACAAGGAAAATAGTTACGAGAAAGTTATAGATGTAATTCAAATACATGTAAAGTATTACTCAAAACTTGTCAAGGTTTAGAAATAAATACTTGTCAAAGTTATTGCAAAAAAACATGTGTGTTCCTATTTCTTTTATCGTATGATAACACCATTATGAAGTTGAGACGTCTTCTTCATTAAGTGTCAAGATATAAAAGGGCCCTCTTTTATAAAACTCATGTTATTTAGTCATGGGATTAACAGAAGCATTTTTCAAAGAACAAAAATGCAGACTATTCTTTAAGTCCTTAAAAATAAAAGGCAAGAATAGAACAGACGGAAGTTTAATGATAATAAAAACTTCTTAATATTTAAAACTAAAGACTAAGTATAAACTTAGTCATCGAATTGTTTATACAAAATGCCCCATAACAAGACTTGGGGACTTGTACTTCTAAAATCAACCCTCAAGTGATAGCCAAGGGTTTGATTACAAAGACTTTCAAAATAATCCAAGAACTTTAAACATAGTTTTCCAAACAGGTACCTGCAAAAAGGGAATTTAAAACAGATGTAAATTTTTCACTAAGAGGAAAGGACTGAAGAAGGATCATCAGCGGGCTCAACTGGAACAACATCGTCAACAGAAGCAGGTTGATCTTCAACCGCAGCAATTGGAGTATCAATAGACGAAGTCTCAACTTGACTTGCAACAAGAGGCACGGTTGAGCTTGAAGAAGGTGCGTCACCCGAGGCAATTTCAGTGTTCATGGGGACTTCAACTGCAGAAGTTTCAGCCAAGGGAGCCTCACTCACCGGAACTTCACCCACGGGAGGAAAGAGAGAAAGAAGGATTCTTTCCTTTATCTTATGTGCTATCTCATGTAGTAATTATCTTTTTCAATTGGGAGAGATGGCTGAGTGGACTAAGCGGCGGATTGCTAATCCGTTGTACGAGTTAATCGTACCGAGGGTTCGAATCCCTCTCTTTCCGTTGATGACTTGATTTTTTTTTCAATTCCGAAATCCTTGTTCTTATTCTTAGTTAAATGTGTGGAATAGACCAAAATCATAAGAAAATTGGAAAATCAAGCAAGGAAAAACCCTTTTTATTTTATTCTTCACGTCCAGGATTACGTCCGGGATCATTAGATAGGAATCCAAAGATGAAGAGAGAAACAAAAAATATCACTACTGTGTAAACGAAGAGTTTGAGAGTAAGCATTACACAATCTCCAAGATGATTTTTTTGAAAAAAAGAGAATAGATCATCCATTTTTCTACCGCATATGCTAGTTTGACACCAGGCAATGAAGCTCTTTCTCTAAAAGAATTTTCATAAATTCTTTTCTACTAAGAGTTTGTCATTAACCAAAATTTTTTTATATACACAATTAGGTATTGTGAGGAGCCTAATAAGGTCTTTCACTGGAAAGGAAAGCGTCAAAAAATAAGGAAATAAGTTAAGCCGGATTTCTCGTGACTATCCAAGAATTTCAATGTTTGAATCGAGGTTTCAAAGGGTAAAGCTTATCTGATTTTATTTATTTTAGAATTTTTTCTCGAATAAATCATGAATTTTCTAGGATATTATTAAGGATCTCATCGAAAACTTACAGCAGCTTGCCAAACAAAGGCTAAGAGAAAAAAGAACAGAGGTATGACTGGCATAATATCTACGATTGGATTCAAAAAAGCATAGGCCTCGGGCAATTTGCCGAAGAAAAAACTACTCGAAAAAAGGGTCGAATTAAGACAGATACCGATCAAACTCAAGGTATTAAGCATAACAGACTTTTTGTTCTTGGAGATAATTGCATTTTGATTGAGTTATTGATATAAGGAAAAGGAAAGTAAGTAAGGTAAACAAAAAATACTTCTTTTTCTTTGAACCCACCCAATCAAAAATCCTCCTTTTCTCAAAGGAGAATCGAAAAAATCATATTTTCATACAATATCTTAATTGAATTATATGTAATGATCAATAAATTAAGTTGAATTCTATATCTACACATACCAAAAACATCGCAAAATCCTAGTACCAATCTAATCTATTCTATAGATATTTGGACTAGAGTTGACAAACAAACAAAACAAGCAATATACTTTCTTAGTATCGAATAGAAATCCAAATGGGGCGTGGCCAAGTGGTAAGGCAACGGGTTTTGGTCCCGCTATTCGGAGGTTCGAATCCTTCCGTCCCAGAACATATATATTCTATGAGAATATAGATTGCTTTTTTAACAATGTTCTGTTTAAAATCGAAATGTTAGCTGGAATGTGATTCTTGTTTCTGATTTTTTTCTTCGATGAATCATTTTTTTTTTTCAAAAACTGAATCGAGATGCGAAAGAATCTATATTCCCTATCTCGTATTCTCTATCCCCTAAATTAGCCTAATTAGATTCAATTTTCTTTTTTGTGGATTTCTTGACTTTTCGCCAAGAGGGGGTTTTTGGTACTAATTAAATTCACTAAGTCTCTTAATTCTTAATCAATGAGTTAGGCTAAAATATCAAAAAATAGGAGCAAAAACTTGACTTAATCTGGACTTGTTTGGCTTTGTGCCTAGACAGCTCGCATTTCGTAAAAATCAAAAAGACTAGGACACCCCCTTCTTTTCTTTTGATTTATGCTGCATCAGTCCCATAGAATGGGGTAGATAGGAGTTAATCAGTAATGGGAAGGCATTCATTTCAATATCTATAAACGGTGACAATTGCTCAGTCTATTTGATCGAATTGATAGATACGAAACCCTCCCCATTCTTTGGATTTTATCAATCAGATGAAAAAAAAAAAAA